GATACCATTTTGGCACTACTTGCTCAACCATTGCAATTTTTTGGTCTATTATATGTTTTTGTAGTAATTTATTAGACACTCAATTAATGCATCATTTGGCCACAAAATAGCCTGTTTTATGAAAAATTACATCATTGTGCAAAAGGATGATAGGATGTTTCGCATCCAACTATTCAAAAGAATAATTCATCTTTTCGTTACTGCTAAATTTAGAAATGATTAACATAGGCTAGTCTAAATTTAGTAGCAATCATAGCGGCCATTTCCTCGTGAACATAGTAAACTTGTGCAACTTTGAGCCCTTCTAACTCTGCAATGCTGCGACATATCAACAAAATGAAATCATAACTTTGTAGAGAAAGGTTTTAGCTTCAAAAACACGACTTATTTTTTTGGTGTTACATTTCCATTTTTGGAGTTAGAAAAGGATCTACAAAGCCAATAAAAAGTTGTGGGACTAGGTGTCTCGCACTATATGAGGAGTATACATGTAACATTTCTTCTAGTGTTCTATTCATCTGTTCTGTTTGTCCGTCTGTTTGTGGGTGAAATGCAGTTGATAAAGCCAATTTAGTTCCTACTTGTTCAAATAATGTTTTCCAAAAATGACTAGTGAATTTTGCATCTCTATCTGAAATAATAACTTGAGGTAGACCATGATTTTTAAAAATAGTGGAAAAGAAGATTTTTGCAACTTCTGGTGCAGTCACTGATGTATGTGTTGGACAAAAGTGTGCACGTTTTGATAGTCAGTCTACAATTACTACAATTGCATCATATCCTCCACGTGTTGTTGGTAATTGCACTACAAAATCCATTGTGACTTGTTCCCAGTGTTTTGTTGGTGTTGGAAGTGGTTGTAAAAGTCCTGCTGGTTGTTTGTTGCTACTTTTATTCCTTTGACATGAGTCACAGCTTGTTACATATTTTTGAACATCTTTTCCCATTTTTGGCCAAAAATAATCTCTTTGAATGGCTTCGTATGTTTTATCAATTCCCAAGTGTCCAGCAATAGGATTGTCATGGTATTCTTGCAACAAACTAGTCCGCAATTCTTTGTTTTTAGGAATAGCAAGTTGTTGGCCTTGTTTCAAGTATAATTTGTTATTTCTTAATTCGTAATGTACAGCTCGTGCCTTTTGTTTTTCATCACTCTTTTCTGAGTTTTTCAATGCTTCGAAAATTGGTGCAAAATACTTGTCTTGGTGATATCCTTTTTCTAATGTTTCTTCTGTCAAGTAAGTTGACACACTGGTGATATTGGCAAGGTGAGGTGGACGAGAAAGTGCATCAGCCACTACGTTTGTTTTCCCGGGTCGATATTTCACCTCAAAAGTACTTGATTGTAACACTTCTAACCATCGAGCTTGTCTTCTTGATAAATTTGCTTGTGTCTTAATAAATTCTAATGATGCATGGTCCGTTACAACAGTAAATTTTTGCCCTTCTATATAAGTCCGCCACAATTTAATGGCATGCACGATTGCTAATAGTTCTTTTTCATGTACAGGGTAGTTTTGTTCTGCTGGTGATAATTTTCTTGATTCATATGCAACAGGTTGTTCTCCTTTCCCTTGGTCTTGACTTAGCACTGCTCCAATTGCAATTTCTGATGCATCTGTGGTTAC